AATCTCTTGTATTAAAAGTATGAATTTTTAAGTTGCTTTTTAATTTATTTCCATTATGTCATAGTTTACATTATCAGTTTTCTATTAAATTTTCAGTTTTTGTCTTATAATTCGTACTGATACACACTTAGTGGAGAATTTTTGTATTTAATTAATTCTGTTTATTAGGGTATGCTGTTAAAACAACAATAAAGATCTGTGTCTTGTTTAGTTACTATCAGCTGTTGATTGGCTGTGGCGCTGCTTCATGTGTTCTTCATTCCAGGAACCCAGTGAAAGAACAACCCCTTTTTGAGACATTGCCATTTTTATGGCAGAAGGAAAAGAGCAAGCAGACATTTCAATTGGCTCTGAGAAGATGTGTGGAACACTTTTGCTTAAAGCAATCATATGGCCAAGTCTAGCATCGTGGGGCAAAAATGTGTATACCCTTACTGATACCTACATGATGATATATATAAAGTAGTATGTGCACATGAATTGCAAAAACTTAGAGATTACCTACTTCAGTCACCTAAGTTTTTGAATGAAAAAGGGAAAATGATACTTTGGTGTCACCTAATTTACTTGGAGCATATTTCTGATAAAGGCCTTCCTTCAGTACAATTCATTTTTTGTTTGTATAAATATATTACAAATGGGAACGATGGAATAGCTCAGCTTCATTACTGTCTTTGCATATATACCAAGCAAAATATGCCAAAAGGAGCTACATTTTACCAGCAAATTCAAAGTAATATATTCCTGACTGATGTTTTCCATCTGTGCCCAAGGCACTGCTTTATGTAAGGAGCAGAAATTACTTCTGTTTGTTCCTTGTCCTTTTTCTCTCCTGATTAAATCATAGATTTAATCATAGGTTTAAAGGAATAAACTCATAATACTCATTTGGCCTATTTTATCTCCAATTTTTTCTTCATATGATTGTCATGTGAGGAATGGAGATAAATTCCAACTTTTATCAGGTGCTTATACATTCATTCATTCATTAGTGTTTATTTGACTGCCTACTAAATGTAAGGGTTTCTAATTGCCTTGGTGGATACAATGAAGAGATATATACAATATTAATAACTGTAATACAAAGTAATTTCACAAGTGTCAACTGAGTAGGCAGTAATTATAGCTATATTCTAAAACCTTCTTTAACAGAAATTATAAAGGCAGAGGTAGAAATAATCCTAAAATATTCCCAGATACCAAAATGTTTTAGTGAAAACTAATGCCTTAGCATCTATTGCAACTATTTGCACATAGTAGGTGATCAGCATATGTTTCATGCATTGAAGTAAAACTAAATATGCCAGAAAAACAATTGCTATGGGGGTTAAACTTAGGGAGGATGAAGAAGTGGTCCTGATAATAATTAGGAAACCAAGCAAGTAACGTGGAGGGAAGGGCTTAATAGGTATACTAATAGTAATAAGTTAGATTAGGTCCCAGAGAATGGAGTGCTGTAGTTTGAGTATGATTGGACCCACAAACTCATGCAAGGGCTTAAAACTCAAAATTCTTGTTACTGCTACTAAGAGGGTAGAAACCTAATCCAATTATGATGTTTAGAGATGAGGCCTTTAGAGAGCGATAAGATTATATTAGGTCACTATGATTGATCCCAGTGGGTTTTTTGTTTGTTTTTGACAGGCAGAGTGGACAGTGAGAAAGAGAGAGAAAGGTCTTCCTTTTCTGTTGGTTCACCCCCCAATGGCCACTGCATTCGGTGCGCTGATCTGAAGCTAGGAGCCAGGTGCTTCCTCCTGGTCTCCCATGTGGGTGCAGGGCCCAAGCACTTGGGCCATCCTCCACTGCACTCCTGGGCCACAGCAGAGAGCTTGACTGGAAGAGGAGCAACCGGGACAGAATCCAGTGCCCCAACTGGGACTAGAACCCGGTGTGCCAGCGCCGCAGGCAGAGGATTAGCCTATTGAGCCGCAGCGCCGGCAATCCCAAAGGTTTTATAATGAGGTATATTCAGTCACACTAACATCTTATCTGTTGGATTGTGATTCTCTGTGATGCCTCAGGATTTTGCAGTCAAGAACACCATCACCAGAGGTTAAGCTGTTGGAACCCACCACCAAAAAAGAGCCAAAATAAATCTCTCTCCATTATCAAGTAGTTGGCCTCAGATATTTCTTAGTAATGAAAAGCTAACTAATAGATGGAAACTAACCTGGGGGAAAAAAGTACTTGCATCCCCAGAGGTTATTATTATTATTATTATTTGACAGGCAGAGTGGACAGTGAGAGAGGTAGAGACAGAGAGAAAGGTCTTCCTTTTTTGTTGGTTCACCCCGCAATGGCTGCTGTGGCCGGCGCACCGCACTGATCCAAAGCCAGGAGCCAGGTGCTTTTCCTTGTCTCCCATGCGGGTGCAGGGCCCAAGCATTTGGGCCATCCTCCACTGCACTCCCGGGCCACAGCAGAGAGCTGGACAGGAAGAGGAGGGACCAGGACAGAATCCGGCGCCCCGACCTGGACTAGAACCTAGTGTGCTGGTGCCTCAGGCAGAGGATTAGCCTAGTGAGCTGCGGCACCAGCCCTCCCCAGAGGTTCTAAGGCCTGGTGGTTCCAACCTGAAGAGTCTGCTAAAAGAAGAAGGTATGATAGAGATTGTCAGTCCCTCTAGCTCTCCATTCCAAATTACTCTGAAATTAGCTGATTTTCTCAGATTGTCTTTTAGGACTTTAAGTATGCTAATGAAATATTAGGATTTCACTAACACTACCCCTTCCTAGGATCATCTCGCCAATTGCAGACAGCTAAATTCTGAGTAAAAAACCTATAAAGAGGGGAAAAAAGTTTTAAATTCAGAAAATAGTTGAAATAATACCGATTCAAAGAGCTTTGGTTTAAATAATCAGGCAGTGAATGCAAGTGAGTAATAATCAGTTTGTTCCCAGCTCTATCAGATTTTATTCCCTGCAGTTTTCTGATAAGGAAAAGGCTTGGAGAAACTGAAGAAGGGAGAAGGTTGCAGATAAAATAATCTGAGAGGAAAATAATTTCACATTACATCATTGATACTTAAAAATACTTGGTCACATTAGTGTGAAGATAACTTTGTTTCATAAAAAGTGTTTGTTTTATTTTGTTTTCTTTTTGTCATTTTAAACTAGTGGAGCTCCCTGGCAATTTAACTGAAGTATTGTTAGTGTCGCTCCCCCTCTTCACGGAGGAACGACACAGGACCCTGTGCTGTTCTTTTGTCTGCTTGGCCCTCCCCGGGTTTGCTGCTGGTTCTTCCCGGGTTGGCTACCGTCCCTTCCACCTCCGTGGAAGGGCGGTTCCCCCTGCCACTTTCCCCACTTCCGCGGGGGAGCGGCACACCGCCGGCCGGCTCTCTCGGGGGCTGCACAGGTGTTCCCTCAGATGTTCCTGGTGCATGTTGTCTCTCTCCTCCTTTATAGTCCTCTTCCACCAATCCCAACTCTGCTACCCACACGCCGAGTACGCTGCTCTCCTCCAATCAGGAGTAGGTCCTACAGTTTATTGGTTGAACTGGAGGCAGCTGTGTAGAAGCTGTTTCTCCCTTCTCAGCGCCATATTGTGGGAGAGCAGATGCATAGAATAAGTCTTAATTCCAGTAACTTAGTCTAGTCCGAGTTGCTCCCAGTTGCTCCCCACAGTTAGAACGTATTAGTTTCATTTCCTGATCTCACCTTTGGTACAGTATGTCTTGTTTTCCTTAATCAGATACATGGAAATAAAATTCAAAATCTAAAGTCTATTGTATTTGAAATATTAACTTACATAAACAATGAAATTTATTTCCTATGCTATTTCATGTATATGCTATTTTATTTAAGAGTTTCAGAGGCGGAAGGAGAGACAGAAAGAGATCTTCCAATCACTGGTTCACAAATGGCCAGGATGAATCCAAGAACCAGGAACTCCATCCTGATCTCCCACATGAGTGGTAGGGGCCCAAGTCCTTGGGCCATCTTTTGCTGCCTCCCTGGGTATACTGACAACAAGCTGGACCTGAAGCGGAACAGCGGGAACTTAAATTGGCTCTCCAATATGGGATGTCAGTGTTCCAAATAGTGGCTTAACCTGCTGCACCTCAACACCAACCCCATGAACAACCAATTTTTTTTAATTGTCAAAGATGCACAGTAAAAATAGTTTTGATAGGGGTGGGCACTGTGGCTTAGTGGGTAAAGCCACCACCTGTGGTGCCGGCATCCCATATGGGTGCTGGTTTGAGTCCCAGCTGCTCCACTTCCCATCCAGCTCCCTGCTGATGGCCTGGGAAAGCAACAGAAGAAGGGTCCTTGTGCCCACGTGGGAGACCTGGAAGAAGCTCCTGGCTTCAGATGGGCTGTGCTCTGGCTGTTGTGGCCATCTGAGAACTGAACCAGCGGGTAGAAGACTTTCTCTCTCTCTCTCTCTCTCTCTCTCTCTGCCTCTGCCTTTCAAATAAATAAATAAATCTTTAAAAAAATAGTTTTGATAAGGGCAGATATTTGCTGCAGCAGTTACAACACTGCTTATGATGCCTTCACCCCATATTCAAATGCCTGGGTTCAAGTGCTGGCTTTGCTTCCAGACCCAGTTTCCTACTAATGTGCATGCAGGGAGGCAGCAAGTGATGGCTCAAATACTTCATCTTTCCCACCAATAAGGGAGACTCAGAATGAGTCTTGAGCTCTTGGCTTCAGCTTGGCCATGCCCTGGCTGTTGCAGGCATCTAAGGAGTGAAGCAGTGGATGAAGGATCTCAGTCTGTCTCTGTATCTCACTCTGCCTTTCAAATTAGTAATAATAATTATAATCAATTTTAATGACTTTAATAGTTTTTGAGAAGCAAATATGACCTAAAGTATTTGACACAAAATATCCTCATATTTAACACAGACTTCATTGTGTGTACATGAAAGATCTGCTTAAGTGGTCACTTGTATTTTAAAATGTTGTTCTTTCTTTTCTTTTCTTTTCTTTTCTTTTCTCTCTTTCTTTTTCTTTTTCTGTTTCTTTCTTTTTTTTTTTTTTTTTTTTTGATGCTTTGGCATCAGAATTGCCTCCCCTGTTTGGGAAATATACAATTGTGTGTGTGTGAATTGAAGTCCAAAAAGCCTGATGTTTTTCTTTTGCCGTGACAACAAGCAAATAACCTAATTTGGACCAATTAAGTGCCCTTGCCTTTAACTGTGAATCAGTAGAAGTGTTACAAAGAAGGAATAAGAGATTAGAATCAGGGGCAGGCTTTATGCTGTAGCAGATTAAGCCTCCATTTGGGATGCTCACATCTCTTCATTGTAATACCTGGAATCTACTCCTCCTTCCTTTCCAATCCAACTTCTTGCTAATGTCCCTGGGAAGCAGCAGGTGCTCAAGTACTTGAGGTCCTGTTACCCAAGGGGGTAACCCAGATAGAATTCCTGGCCCCTGGCTTTGGCTTGGCCCAGCCTTAGCTACTGCGGACATCTGGTGATTATAAGAGGAAATGGGAGGTAATCTTTGTCTCTACTCCAACCCCCTCTCCCTCTTTGTTGGTCTACCTTTCAAACAAAAATAAATAAATAAATGTTTTAAAAGAGATGAGATTTAACACCAATGTCTTTCCATTGCTCTGTTGTGTCAGGATCCAAGTGTCCACGAGCTGGAGCCCTTAACCAGGCAATGTCTTTGGCCATGGTACCAGCCACCTTTGTTGCCTATGTTCCCAAGTTAACTGGAAATAATCCAGGATGTTATTATCCTACTTAAAGTCACCAAAAACAGTTTCAGATTTTTGCCTGATGGGGTCAGTCACTCTTGAAATTTATTGGGAACTTCACAGCCTGAAGATGCTGCCAAGGCCAGCTTATGGGCTCTGTGATTTTCTAGGTAATATAACAGGCTTGACTAAGCTGCCAAAGAGCAGAGACTCCATCTGATTTGATCCCTATGTATAAGCTCCTAGCTCCTAGCTTAGTGCCTCCAACAAGCAGATGTTAAATAAATATTTGACTTTTTACTTGAATGATTAAAATAGTAACACTGTTACAGGTCTTTTTTTGATCTTGACATCGTCTAGTATGAATTTTTCTTAGCAAGGAAGAAAACTAAAAACTGATGACACTAAGGTTTTAAAATCAGGCAAGAAGGAGGGTTTTCTTTTTTTTATTTCTCATTAACAGAAATGAGGAAATCTGGAGGAAAGAGATTAGGTTTCTGTTGTAATAAATTTTCTTGCCTACAAGTTAAGCAGGTTGTGTCATTCACTAGATAACTCTTATTAGTTTGAAAAGAACGGTCCCACCCACTGGACTTTGATCCAGCAAAAACAATTGTTACCTAACTCAACCTCTCGTAGTCATTAGAACACCTGTATGAAAAATCTTTTTTAAAGGTGGTTTTATATATATGATTTATTTAAGTTTTCAAGAATGATTAGAAAACTTTTTATGATTCTACTTTTGTTGTTTGTGATCCTCGGAGAGGCAAGGAAATCATTTCTCAGTTTTCTGAATATAGAAAAGGCTGAAACACTGCTTTTCACAAAGACTGAAGAAACCGTTCTTGTCAAGTCAGCTTACACAGATAAACGGCCTGACTCCAGCTACCTTGTTGTGCAATTAGAAGATCCTAAAATGCTGCAAGTGGTGAATGTGACCAAGACTTCATCAGATGCCGCAGACTTTTCCATAAACCTGGTGACAGGTGAAGAAGGAGAGACAAATCTAACCATTCAACTTTGGGATTCTGAAGGTAGGCAAGAAAGACTCATTAAAGAGATAAAGAATGTCAAAATCAAAGTACTCAAACAAAGAGAAGGCAGTCTTTTGCAAGCGTCAATGTTTATTGACAGAAATATCTTAATGCTTATTTTACCAATGATACTGTTAAATAAGTGTGCTTTTGGCTGCAAGATTGAACTCCAGGTGTTTCAAACAGTATGGAAGAGACCTTTGCCAATAATTCTTGGAATAGTAACACAGTTTTTTCTTATGCCATTCTGTGGATTTCTTTTGTCTCAGATTTTGGCATTGCCCTTGGCACAAGCTTTTGGATTCATAATGACCTGCACATGCCCAGGAGGAGGTGGGGGCTATCTCTTTGCTCTGCTTCTGGAAGGAGATGTCACGTTGGCTATTTTGATGACATGCGTATCAACTTTATTAGCCCTGATAATGATGCCTATCAATTCTTATGTTTATAGCAGGCTATTAGGACTATCAGGAATATTTCATGTTCCTGTTTCTAAAATTGTGTCAACACTCCTTTTCATACTAATACCAATATCAGTTGGAATAGTCATCAAGCATAGAATACCTGATAAAGCAAACTTTTTAGAGAGAATAATTAGACCTCTGAGTTTTGGTTTAATGTTTGCAGGGATTTATTTGACTTTCAGAATGGGATTTATGTTTTTAAAAACAGTTAATCTAGAAGTGCTTCTGTTGGGTCTCTTAGTTCCTGCCTTGGGTTTATTGTTTGGGTATTCTTTTGCTAAAGTCTGTATGCTACCTCTTCCTGTTTGCAAAACTGTTGCTATTGAGAGTGGGATGCTAAATAGTTTCTTAGCCCTTGTCATTATTCAGCTTTCTTTTTCACAGTCCAGGGCAGACTTAGCTTCTGTGGCTCCTTTCACAGTAGCCTTGTGTTCTGCTTGTGAAATGCTGCTGATCCTTCTGATCTACAAGGCTAAGAAAAGATGGGTCCTTATAGCAGAAGTTAAAAGAAAAAGAATTCCTCTAGTCTAACAAAGCACTACTACATTCCTGCTGTGGGAAATTCAAAGACTAGCTAAAATGACGCTGCTCTTAAACCCACATATGATCTGGTTAAAAATTTGATATAGGGGGAGGGGATAAATACATGAAACCATATGTGCTAAGCACCCAATGAGTGGCACAGACAGTAAAACATTCAGGAATTCAGAGGAAGGTACAGTTTTACAACGAAATTTGTAGGAGAATGTTTTATAAAGTAGGATGCGAAATCATACCTTACTATATTCCCTTAAATGAGAAAAATTAGATAACTCCTCCTATAATGATGACAATACATCCCAAATATTTGAGAAAGGGATGACCATATAGCAGACATTCAGAAACTCACTCAGCGAATAAATATGTGAATTGGAGCTCTCCTTGGTTCATCAGGGTCAGCATGCCTTTAACTAAATGTAGCAACTCTGCTCTCATAGCTGTGCTTCTTCCTGTCTTCCACATCTTGTACCAAAGGTATTATTACAATTTATCCTAAAACACAGGGTCATCTCTTCTCCCTCTTCTTTATTCTTCCCTCTTTTTATCTTTATACTCAATCTATTTCCTACAGAAAATTTTCTGTAATATCTTTTCATCAGTCTCCTCCTTTCCCAGTGTTGTCACTTTCGTTCTGCCTTCTATTACTTCTTTCCTAAACCTTTCTAAGCTGGCTTTTGGCTTCTCTGTCCACCCTCCTATCACTGTCAGATTTATCTTCCTGGAAATCTAACTTTGATCATGTAATTTCCTTGTTATGAAGGCTTTTTCCCTTTTAAATAGTCTTTATTCCTCAGTAAGGTATGTGTTAATTCTACTGTCTGACTTTAATCTAGTTTTATCTTTTCTCCTGCTTCTTTATATTCAGCATTTGCTCCAGTCCTACTAATTGACACGGTATCTCAAGAAAATGCCTTTGTTCATGTGAGCCAACCTGGCTTGTTTTGTAGCTATTTGTGTTCCTGTTTTGTTCTTCCTCTTTTGCTACACACTCATGAGCATAAGAATTACGTTTCTTTATTTTTACTTCCCATAGGGTGTGGCACAATTCTTGAATGTGAGAATTACATTATTCATTTTATACTCCCCATAATGTCTAGCGCAGTATTCTCTATGTGTTGATTCAAATAAAGTATTGAAGTATGGACTAGGGCCCAAATGAATAATCTGACTTTTTTTTTTACTATTTTTTTTTGACAGGCAGAGTGGACAGTGAGAGAGAGAGAGAGAGAGACAGAGAGAAAGGTCTTCCTTTGCCGTTGGTTCACCCTCCAATGGCCTCCATGGCCGGCACACTGCGGCCGGCGCACTGCGCTGATCCGATGGCAGGAGCCAGGTGCTTCTCCTGGTCTCCCATGGGGTACAGGGCCCAAGCACTTGGGTCATCCTCCACTGCACTCCTGGACCATAGCAGAGAGCTGGCCTGGAAGAGGGGCAACCGGGACAGAATCCGGCGCCCCAACCGGGACTAGAACCTGGTGTGCCGGCACCGCAAGGCGGAGGATTAGCCTAGTGAGCCGTGGTGCCAGCCGAACAATCTGACTTTTTTAAATACCACTTTGGAATTTTCAATGAAAATTTCATTATCTAGACCCAGTTTGTACCCTCTCCAAGAGAAAAAAATAGGTATCAAGAATAGAAAATATTATTATTATTATTTTTTTTTTTTGACAGGCAGAGTGGACAGTGAGAGAGAGACAGAGAGAAAGGTCTTCCTTTGCCGTTGGTTCACCCTCCAATGGCCGCCGCTGCAGCCGGCGCACCGCGCTGATCCGATGGCAGGAGCCAGGATCCAGGTGCTTTTCCTGGTCTCCCATGGGGTGCAGGGCCCAAGCACCTGGGCCATCCTCCACTGCACTCCCTGGCCATAGCAGAGAGCTGGCCTGGAAGAGGGGCAACCGGGACAGAATCCGGCGCCCCAACCGGGACTAGAACCCGGTGTGCCGGCGCCGCAAGGTGGAGGATTAGCCTATTGAGCCACGGCGCCGGCTCGAAAATATTATTCTAAATAATCCTTCTTTCCCTGTTTCATAGCTTTGGTTGTATGCAAATCATTTAATTTTCCTATAGTTAGTCCAGTTACCTCAACTAAAAATGGGGATAATAATGTCAGCTCTATAGATTATCCTGGGAATTAAATGAGCTCAAGCACATAATGGGCTTAGAAGAGTTCCTGGCACATAGTAAGTGTTCAGTGTTAGTTACTATCATTATTTTCTCAGCGCTTTTGGCCCTGAAGTAGTCCTTCTGATTTGGGATAGCAGTCTGATAACTGTGTATGAACCTAAACTTTTAACATTTTTTTTCTTAGTTTTATTCACCATTTTGCTCATAGTATTTAGAAATTTTTGTTTACTTTGCCAACAAATAAGACAACCAATGTTTCTTATTCGGATATCACCAAAACCAGTATGTGAATACCAAGATTTATAAAAGACCTAAAGGTATGTAATTTTATAATATCTGATAAAATATTTGCCCACATGGAATATATTACTCATTTATATAGATCTATGCTTAGGGCTGTAAAAATATAATTACATCTATACAAATTTAATTTAAATACATTTATTTTTTATTTTTTTAAAGATAGATTCATTTATTTATTTGAAAGAGTTACACAGAGAGAGAAGGAGAGTCAGAGAGAGGGAGAGGGAGAGGGAGAGGGGTCTTCCATCTGCTGATTCACTCCCCAGATGGCCGCAACAGCCAGAGCTGCGCCAATCTGAAGCCAGGAGCCAGGAACTTCTTTGGTGTCTCCCATGTGGGTACAGGGGCCCAAGGACTTGGGCCATCCTCCACTACTTCCCCAGGCCATAGCAGAGTTGGATCAGAAGTGGAGGAGCTGGGACTTGAACCGGTGCCCATAGGAGATGCCAGGACTGCAGGTGGCGGCTTTACCTGCTATGCCACAGCACTGGCCCCTACATACATACATTTTCATGAGCATAATTGGGAGACAGGAGATCTACCTTTCTAGCTGTACTTTCATCAGTAACATTGTGACCTTGAACAATTACTTCTCTACATTGCAGTTTTCAAATCTGTAAAATAGAAGGGTTCAGGACTGGTGCTGTGGTGCAGTGGCTTAAAGCCCCGGCCTGCATCCCAAGCATCCCATATGGATGCCTGTTCAAGTCCTGGATGCCCCACTTCCAATCCAGCTCCCATCTAATGCACCTGGGAACACAGCTGAGGATGACTCAAGTCCCTATGCCCTTGCACCCATATGAGAGACCTGGAAGAAGCTCCTGGCTCCTGGCTTCAGACTGGCTCAGCTCCAGCTGTTGCAACCATTTGGGGAGTGAACCAGCAGATGGAAGACTTCTCTGTCTCTACCTTTCTCTGTAACTCTTTTTCAAACAAATAAAATAAATCTTTAAAAAAAAAAAAAGTTCAACTGGGTTTAAGATCCTGCTCAATTCTGTAACAATCCATGATTCAGAGATAGCACTCTTGTAATTAACACCAAGGGCAGAGTAGTCAGTAGAACAAAATGAGGATTCACAGTGTGAGAATAACTATACATTGCTGTTGCTTTCTTTTTCTGTTTCTTTTTTCTTTTTAAATATTTTATGTATTTATTTGAGAGACAGAGTTACAGACGAAGGGAAAGACAGAGAGAAAGGTCTTCTGTCTCTGGTTCACTCCCAAGATGGCCACAATGTCTGGAGCTGGGCTAATCTGAAGACAGAAGCAAGGAGCTTCTTCCGGTCTCCCACATGGCTACAGGGCCCAGAGCATATGGGCCATCTTCCATTGCTTTCTCAGGCTATAAGCAGAGAGCTGGATCAGAAGAAGAGCAGCTGGGACATGAACTGGTACCCATATGGGATGCTGTCATAGCAGGCGGAGGCTTAACCAACTACACCACAGCATTGGCTCCTGCTGTTGCTTTCTAACTAGGACAGCCACCCAAAATACAAGCTTCCTGAGGGCAGGGACTCTATACTATTTTTTTTAAATTTATTTTTTAATGAATACAGATTTCATAAGTACAACTTTAGGAATATAGTTATTCTTCCCACCATATCAGCCCTCCCAACCACATTCCCACCCTTCCTTCTCCTCTCTCTCCCCTTGCCAGTCCCAGTCTCCATTAATATTCATTTTAAATTAATTTTGTACACAGAAGACCAACTCTATACTAAGTAAAGATTTCAACAATTTGCACACACACACACACACACACACATACAACTGTTTGAGAACTGGTTTTACAGTTAACTCAATACAACTCATTGAGGACAGAGGTCCTGCATGGGGAGTTAGTGCACAGTGACTCCTGTTGTTAATTTAACAATTAACCCTGTTATGTATGATGTCAGTGACCACACAAGGCTCTTGAAATGAGCTGCCTAGGCTATGGAAGCCTTTCGAGTCCACAAACTCTGTCAGTATTTGGACAAAGCCATAAGCAATGTGGAAGTTTTCTGCTCTCTTTAGAGTAAAGTACATCCTTCTTTAATGGCCACTTCTTTCTGCTGGGGTCTCACTCACAGAGATCCTTCATGTAGAACATTTTTTGCCAGATTTTGTTTATGTGTTCTATTAGTTCTCAAAGATCAGGGAGAACATATGGTATTTGTCCCTTTGGGACTAGCTTATTTCACTAAGTATGATGTTTTCCAGATCCATTTTTTTGCAAATGACCAGATTTCATTTTTTTTAAAGATTTATTTATTTTTTTATTTGAAAGTCAGAGTTACACAGAGAGAGGAGAGGCAGAGAGAGAGAGAGAGAAAGAGAGAGAGGCCTTCCATCCAATGGTTCATTCCCCAGTTGGCTGCAATGGCCGGAGCTGTGCCGATCTGAAGCCAGCAGCCAGGAGCTTCTTCAAGGTCTCCCACATGGGTGCAGGGGCCCAAGGACTTGGCCATCTTCTACTGCTTTCCCAGGCCATAGCAGAGAGCTGGACAGGAAGTGGAGCAGCTGGGTCTTGAACGGGCACCCATTTGGGATGCCAGCGCTTCAGGCCAGGGCGTTAACCCACTGTGCCACAGCGCTGGCCCCAGATTTTATTTTATTTTATTTTTTTTACAATTGTGTAGTATTCCATAGTATATGTGTCCCATAATTTCTTTATTCAGTCTTCAGTTGATGGGCACTTAGGTTGATTCCATGTCTTAGTTATTGTGAATTGAGCTGCAGTAAACCAGGAGGTGCGGATAGCTCTTTTATTTACTGCTTTCATTTCCCTTGGATAATTCTGAGGAGTGGGGTGGCTGGGTCAGATGGTAGGTCTATATTCAGATTTCTGAGGTATCTCCATGCTGACTTCCATACTGGCTTTACCAGTTTACATTACCACCAACAGTGGATTAGAGTACCTTTTTCCCATATCCTCACCAACATTTGTTGTTTGTTGATTTCCGTATGAAAGCCATTCTACCTGGAGTGAGGTAAAACCTCATTGTGGTTTTGATTTGCATTTCCCTGACAGCTAGTGATCCTGAAAATTTTTTCTTGTGTCTGATGGCCATTTGGATTTCTTCTTTTGTAATATGTCTATTTAAGTCCTTGGCCCATCTCTTAAGTGGGTTGTTTGTTTTGTTATTGTGGAGTTTCTTAATCTCTTTGTAGATTCTGGTTATTAATCCTTTATCTGTTAAATAGTTTGCAAATAATTTCTCCCATTCTGTTGGTTGCCTCTTCACTTTCCTGTTTGTTTTGTCATACAGAAACTTCTCAATTTGAAGTAATCCCATTTGTTAATTTTGACTTTGACTGCCTGTGCCTCTAGGGTCTTTTCCAAGAACTCTTTGCCTGTGCCAATGTCTTACAGGGTTTCCCCAATGTTCTCTAATAATTTGATAGTTTTTGGTCATAGATTTAGATCTTTAATCTATGTTGAGTCGATTTTTGTGTAAGGTAGGGGTCTTGATTCATAATTCTGCATGTGGAAATCCAGTTTTCCCAGAACCACTTGTTGAAGAGATTGTCCTTGCTCCAGGGATTGGTTTTAGCTCCTTGGTCAAAAATAAGTTGGTTGTAGGTGTTTGTATTGATTTCTGGTGTTACTACTCTTTTCCATTGGTCTATCCATCTATTTTTGTACCATTACCAGGCTGTTTTGATTATGACTACCTTGTAGTGTGTCTTAAAATATGGTATTATGATGCCTCTGGCTTTGTTTTTGTTGTATAAGATTTCTTTAGCTATTTAAGGTCTTCTCTTTTGCCTCCATACAAATTTCAGCATAATTTTTTTCTAGATCTGAGAAGCATGTCTTTGGTGTTTTGATTGGTATCATATTGAATCTGTAAATTGCTTTCAGAAGAATAGACATTTTGATGATATTGATTTTTTCAATCTATGAACATGGAAGATTTTTTCATTTTTTTGTATCTTCTTCCATTTCTTTCTTTGATTTTTTTTAATTCTCATTGTAGAGATCTTTGACATCCTTGGTTAAATTTATTCCAAGTTATTTGATTTTTTTGTAGCTATTGTGAATGGGATTGGTCTTAGAAGTTCTTTCTCAGCCATGGCATTGTTTTTGTATACAATGGCTGTTGATTTTTGTGTATTGACTTTATTTTTTTTAAAAGATTTATTTATTTATATGCAAGTCAGAGTTACACAGAGAGAGGAGAGGGAGAGAGAGAGAGAGAGAGAGAGGTCTTCCATTCGATGGTCCACTCCCCAATTGGCCACAACAGCCAGAGCTGTGCCGATCTGAAGCCAGGAGCCAGGAGCTTCTTCTGTGTCTCCCACGTGGGTGCAGGGGCCCAAGGACCTGGGATATCTTCTACTGCTTTCCCAGGCCACAGCAGACAGCTGGATTGGAAATGGAGCAGCCGGGTCTCGAACCAGTGCCCATATGGGATGCTGGCACTTCAGGCCAGGGCATGAACCCGCTGAGCCACAGCGCCGGCCGCTGTGTCTTGACTTTATATCCTGCTACATTACCAAACTCTTCTATGGGTTCCAATAGTCTCTTAGTGGAGTCTTTTGGATTCCCTTTATATAGAATCAGGTCATCTGCAAATAGGGATAGTTTGTCTTCCTCCTTCCCAATTGTATCCCTTTGATTTCTTTTTCTTGCCTAATGTCTCTGGCTAAAACTTCCAGGGCTATGTTGAGTAGGAATGGTGAGAGTGGGCATCCCTGTCTGGTATCAGATCTCAGTGAAAACGCTTCCAACTTTTCTCCATTCAAAAAGATGCTGGCTGTGGGTTTGTCGTAAATCACCTTGATTGTGTTGAGGAATGTTCCTTCTGTACCCAATATGCTTAGTTTTCATCATGAAAGCATGTTGTGTTTTATCAAATGCTTTCTCAGCATATATTGAAATAATCATATGTTTTTTTTTCCTGCAGTTTGTTAACGTGGTGTTACATTGATTGATTTGCAAACATTGAACCATCTCTGCACACCATTGATAAATCCCACTTGGTCTGCGTGGATGATCTTTCTGATGTGTTGTTGGATTCTATTGACTAGAATTCTGTTGAGGATTTTTGCATCTATGTTCATCGGGAAATTGGTCTGTAATTCTCTTTCTCTGTTGCATCTTTTTCAGGTTTAGGAATTAAGGTGATTCTGGCATCATAGAAAGAATTTGGGAGGATTCCCTCCTTTTCAATTATTTTGAATAACTTGAGAAAAATTGCAGTTAGTTGTTCTTTAAATTCTGGTAGAATTCAGCAATGAATCCATCTGCTCCTTGGCTTTTCTTTGTTGGGAGGGCCTTTATTAGTGATTCAATTTCTGTCTTGGTTATGGGTCTGTTTAGGTTTTCTATGTCTTCATGGCTCAATTTAGGTAGGTTTTATGTGTCCACGAATTTATTCATTTTTAAAATTCCCAGAGTGGTGCTGTGGTATAGTGGGTAAAGCCACCACCTGCGGTGTTGGCATCCCATATGGCACTGGTTGGAGACTTGGCTGCTCCACTTCTGATCCAGTTCTCTGCTGGAAAAGCAGTGGAAGATGACCCAAGTCCTTTGGACCCTGCTCCCGTGTGGGAGATCCAGAAGAAGCTCCTGGCTCCTGGCTTCAGATTGGTGCAGCTCTGACTATTGCAGGCATCTACAGAGTAAACCAGCAGATGGAAGACCTCACGCTCTCTCTCTTTCTCTCTCTCTCTTTCTCTGGCTCTTTATAACTCTGTTTCAAATAAGTAAATAAATTTTTTAAAAAATTCCTGGGGCTGGTGCTGTGGCACTGTGAGTTAATCCTTTGCCTGTGTTGCTGGCATCCTATGTGGGTGCTGGTTATAGTCGCAGCTGCTCTTTTTCTTTCTTTCTTTCTTTCTTTCTTTATTTATTTATTTATTTGAAAGAGTTGCACAGAGAGAGAAGGAAAGGCAGAGAGGGAGAGAGAGAGATCTTCCATCTATTGGTTCACTCCCCAATTGGCCATAACAGGTGGAGCAGTGTCGATCTGAAGCAGCCAGGAGCCAGGAGCTTCCTCTGGGTCTCCCATGTGGGTGCAGGGGCCCAAGGACTTGGGCCATCTTTTTTTTTTTTAACTTTTATTTAGTAAATATAAATTTTTAAAGTACAACTTTTGGATTATAGCAGCTTTTCCCCCCATAACCTCCCTCCCATCCGCAACCATCCCATCTCCCACTTCCTCTCTCATCCCATTCTTCATCAAGATTCATTTTCAACTACTGTTTTCCCAGGCCACAGCAGAGAGCTCGATTGGAAGCGGAGCCGCTGGGGAAGCCAGCACTGCAGTCGGTGGCTTTACCCTTTACGCCACACCGCTGGCCCCTTGCTCCTCTCCTGATCCAGCTCTCTGCTGTGGCCTGGTAGGGTGGTGGAGGATGGCCCGATTCCTCAGACCTTTGCACCCACATGGGGCATCTGGAGGAAGCTCCTGGCTCCTGGCTTCGGATCAGCTTTGGCCATTGTGGCCATTTGGGGAGTAAACCAGTGGATGGAAGACTTTTCTCTCTGGCCCTCCTTCTCACTATCTGTAACTCTGTCTCTGAAATAAATAAATAAAATCTTTAAAAAAAAAATCCCTAAAGTTTGCACAATGCACTAAACAGAGTAGATAATCATTAAATATTTATTGAAATCAATCAGTATATCTTTTTTTTTTTTTTTTTGACAAGCAGAGTGGACAGTGAGAGAGAGAGACAGAGAGAAAGGTCTTTCTTTGCCGTTGGTTCACCCTCCAATGGCTGCTGCGGCCGGCGCGGTGCGCTGCGGCCAGCGCACCACGCTGATCCGATGGCAGGAGCCAGGTACTTATCCTGGTCTCCCATGGGGTGCAGGGCCCAAGTACTTGAGCCATCCTCCACTGTACTCCCTGGCCACAGCAGAGAGCTGGCCTGGAAGAGGGGCAACCGGGACAGAAACCTGTGCCCCGACCGGGACTAGAACCTGGTGTGCCGGCACCACAAGGCGGAGGATTAGCCTAGTGAGCTGCGGCGCCGGCCTAATCAGTATATCTATACAAGTCTGTCTATGATTCCAGCTCTTGTCAATTTACCAGCTAGCTGACATTAGTCACATGATTTACCCTTTATATTTAAATCATATAGAAAATAGGGATAATGATAGTACCTACCTCATAGTGTTGCTGTTAGGGTTAATTGAGTTACTATGAGCAAGGCCCTCAGAATAACATCTAAGACATAATAATATAAAATATTATTGCTACTGTAGGCATAGTTGAATAAAATCAAACCATATCAAATAACTGAACATGCATAGATGGAACTTGCCATATATTTTATTTCTTTTATATATGTTTCATGGAAGACAGATGTGATCATAGTAAGACTTCTTTGAAATTTTGGATGGGAATGAAGTCATCCTAGTTATTTTTTTTCTTTTTTTCAGAATGAGAGGCATAAAGCAGGCTCTCTAATCAGTTGAGTCCATACCAACTATCTTACATAGCTATGATGGGCAAAATATACAAGGGGGACAGGTTATGACAGTTTTTTTTAAAGTTTCTTTCTAGCCCTTAAGGGGTATAATGCTGTGATATACTGTTCTAAGAATAACAATTCTATAATATATGAATATATTCTTAAATATTGGAAAGACATTAGAATCACAGGGGCATTGCCAAGGTTTTAATCTAGACCTACAGCTCCACCTATATTATATCAAAGCATGAAATCTTATCATGTAACATGGAGATTCCTCCCTTGAGCAGCTGTGCTGTCTGTATGTTAGTTTGATCATTTTAAATCAAAGTCCACTTAACAATAATTAAAAAGGCTTGGAGTGTGGAACCTAAATTGTTTTTTAGTGAAAGGAATTGTCATTTAAAAGAAATCAGCTCCAGAGACTAAGGAAAGCTGGCAAGAGGCCTACAATTTCTGGGGAAAGAATCTCAGTGAAGGATCTTCTTTATAATGCAAACACTGGGCAGTTGAGTACCCCATGTCATGGGGAAGGGTGGCCGTTTGTGTATAGTCAGGTGTCCAGAGCAGGGATCCCACATCTCTTACCTTTTGAACTTTATCATAATTAGAACCTCAGCTGGGAGTCGGGTGGAAGGAAAGAACATGGAAGGCCTTCAGACAGGAACTCACCATTAGGGATTGTTGGAAACATGGAAGGATACCATGCCAAGTAGTAGATTTTGTCCTAGTACAGGACACAAATGTGCAGCTGGGACTGGAACCTGTCTCCTTCCCCAGAAACCAGCTTGGCACAGCGCATGTTCTTTGGGATTGGAGACAATGGCTACAGATGTGATTATAGCTTTAAAAACTTCTCCTTTTCAGAACCCAAAAGCAGTGCATCATTGTGAAATCAAATTCTTAAGACCAAGGAGCTCTGAAATAAAAGCATTTGCTGAACCTTTATAGATGTGAGCCAAGGAGAAGGGGTTGGTCCTAGAAGAAGTTTCCTGAGTCACAACCAGAAACTCTAGGTGGCAGTTGGAAAAGCATGTTTGCTGGATCTAAAAAGCCAGAGTATTTTATAATGAAATCTGGGGAAAAGAAAACATAAGTTGCTATGTTGAACTTGTATTGGCTATAGATAAGAGAACAGGATGAGGCTAAATGGGCAAAGTTTTGGGATGGGAAGACAGCTTATAATTACTTGTTGCTTCTTCATTGGCTGTGATTTTAAGCTGAATGCAGTGGGACCTAATGGTCAATCTCAAGGGTCTCAACATGTTTAGGAATATGGAACTTCTTCCCCCCTCCTCTTTGGTTTGACCTGAAGCTGTTAGCTAGCTTCTCAATCACTGCTTTCCTCCATCCTCCCCTAAATTTATGAGAGCTCAGAATCTTTCTTTTATCATCACATACAAGTAGTAAGCTCTCTGCAGCCATCTGAACTACTTTCACAGCACCCAGTAAGGATCTTTTGGATTGTGTGGGACTATTGTGCAACACTGCCACAACTGAATCTGAACACTCGACTCCTTGTGCACCGGCAGAGACTACTATTTCATTTTCAGTTGAAAAAACTGAGTTACCTGAGGACGATTGTGAAATAGCTTCTGAGGCCTCTAGAAAAAGCTGGACTTCCTGCTTAAGTGACATAGTGTGCTTGAAATGGTTTTAATTAGAAGAAATAAGATATTTGACCTTTTCTTTATCTTACTTGAAATGACACTGATTTTAGCAGCTTTGCCAAATCAGTAGGAACATTTTAATTTTTAAAAAGTTTACAAATGAAATCTTTATAGATGATACTGATATTTCTGCAAATACCTGGAAAATTTTATTTTGTTATAAATTAACATTAGTCAGCATGTAGTTGACAAGATTTTTATTTTATCATGACAATGAAAAGCCAATAAATTAGTTTCTGGAGTTTTTTTTTTTTTCAAACAAAGACAACAAAAATATCATCTGATATACAAACAGAAGAATCCAAGTCAGATTCTGAAGGTATCAATCATTCTTTAGAAGAATGAAGACAGTTTCTGGCTCTTTGTGTGATTTAAGAATTGCATCCACAGCACTCATCATTCATCTATGAGATGTGTTTTGCGTTGGTGACAATATCTTGACTTTTGATTAAACTAAAGCAAACAACCTCTTCACCAGCAAGGAAGCAAATGACCTACTTCTCTAGTCCTGCTATGGCTAGACATCTGTGCAATGCTTTTTGCCTTACGGTGATACACTAGAATATTCTGTGATGTCAGGGTTGCTATTGCAGGAAGAGGAAACATTTTAAGGACCATGGACTATCCCTTGTACATCATACGATGCGACCTCATTGCACTGTACATATTCCTTACATGTGGACCTCGGAGTTAGGGTATTCCACCCTCCTCTTGCTGCCTGACCCGAGTACAAGCTGCTTCACGTCTCTGAGCACCGGTTTCCTCATCTGTACCATAAAGCTAACCATACCTTCTTCATGGAACTGTGGCACCATTTAAGTTAAGTAATGCATATGGAAATGCAATTGCCCGAAGCACGGTAAATCCTCAGTAAATAGCATTCAAGTGAATGATCAAGAATAGAAGCAATTGGATCTGGTTATCGATTATACATATAACAAAGGCAAGCATAGGTCTCCTTAGCATAGGCTTATCGAATAGAGTTGCACAAGCGAAGGCACACGTGCAATCTTGTGTTGTGCCAGAATATTAGTATTGGTAACATGACAGGGAGCAAAACAGGGAAATGGGAGGACGTGGACAAGTGAATGACAGGGACGAGATGGGCAAAACATAAAGGAAAGGAAATTTTAAAATATTTAGACAAGAAAGGGCAAGCAAGAGAAAATTAAGTTAGAAGGACCAGAAATGAGAAAGAAAGATGCGGCATGGGACGAGAGAGCAGCCTTCAGGGGAGCGATTCCGAGCCCAACTCTAGCTTCGGCCGGGTACTGAGGAGACCACACCCCCCAGTGGGCGGGCCTCGCGGAGGCGGGACTTCCTGTCCCGGGTAGCCCCACTACCTCCGGAAGAGCTGAGCCCTGGATACCATCGGCTGTAGAACCTGCTGGACTTCTTATAATCAGAGGTGAGACCTGAATTTTTTCGCTCGCTGCCTCGCCACCCTGTGGCGGATTCGGCATGCACTGCGGGCCTGGGCGGTGCGGGGCTGCCCTTCTTCGCCGGCGGCCGGCACGGTGGGCGCGGTGGGCGGTGTGGAGGGTCAGCGTCCTCGGGCGGAGAGCACCTCTGGGGCGACCCTTCCTGGCGGTGTTACCCAGAGCCGCCAAGGGACACCGGGCACTGTCCCGATGTTTGAGTAGCGGTTTCACCCACGCGATCGCACTCACCCCTGCGGCAGCTTCTGTAGAACAACCTCCCCCTTTTCATTTTACCGTCCCTGAAGAAGCTTAAGGAGACCTGGCACATTTGCAGCGTCTGTGATGGGGCAGCGACTCAGGGCCCACTGGGGACAGGTGACAGCAGGGTGGCGCCCTGGACGGGAACCGCTGGAAACGTCTCAAGTGTTGATGGCTTCGGGAAAATGGAAGTTAATAAAGCACAGCCTCCTTATCCCGCAAGAAATGTACTCAAAACTGGGAAGACAGGGCGTGCACACATGAACCAAATAGAAGGGAGACAGTGCTGGGCGCCCTGAGAGTGATGTACAGAGTTGTAGGTGCCTCCCAGGCCAAGGTTCCCTAGGAGCTCCTCCCCGACCACTGCCTCCCTTCCCAAGGAATGTCATTCAGGCTCAGGAGCTCTGTTGCTGTAGCCTCCAGTTACAACGATGTTAGTTTATATCCGCAGACCGTACCTCTCCTCTGAGCTCTGCACCCATGTATCCAGGTGCCTAATGGACGTTTCTTTTTGATTTCACTCATTGCCAGGGTGGAAAATTTGGGCATCCTTAACTCTTACTCTCTGTCTTAGCTGCTTAGCTTCCCCAAAGCAGGTATTTCTTGACATTCAACTTCTCTAAAAATCCTTCCCCCACTCCTGGGATAAGAATGAAAAGAAAAAAGAAAAAAATTCAGAACAGTTCTTGAAGAATTCTTAGGAGTTACTTCTAACTCAAAACATGGCCTCCGTTTTAAACTTTTTAAAATGCTTATATCAGGAAGATAAACCACCTGGCAGAAACTCACAGTATCTGTCCTTCCTCCTGCCTTCCTCTCCTGGAATGTGAGCATAATAGAGATTTCTGAGTAGTCTTCAAGGTAAAACTTGGTCAGTTTTTCTCCATTGTAAAGATGACAAAATCAAGCTTGCTGCATAGATGACGCCACGTTTAAAAGTGTCAGTGTGTTCAGTACAGATTTTAAAGTGTGGTCGAGCTAAGGGTGAGTTATTTTAGTCTCCAGGAGTCTGTGGAAAGCTAGGAAAATTGGGAACACTAAAGTGTTTGTTTACCTGCCTCTCTGAAACTCAGGGAAATAAATTTCATTTTGGCTTTTTAACTTTATTTATTTATTTATTTTTAGTCCTGGAATTTTCTTCCATCAGAATGGAAACAAGTTCTTCTACCCCTTGGGACCAGAAGCGTTTCATTTTTAGCATTTTGGAATATTTGCACATATATAAGGAGATGTCCCGAGAACGAGACAAAGTTTAAACACAGAATTCATTTATGTTTCCTATACACCTTGTACACATAGCCTAAAGGTAGTTTTATACAGTTTTTGGGCACTGCCTACTGACTGTGACCCATTATGTTGAGGTCAAGTGTGGAATTTTCCACTTGTGGCGTCATGTCAGTGCTCACAGAGTTTTAGATTTTGCAGCACTCCAATTTTCAGTTTAGGAATACTCCATCTAATAGAGCAGTGGACTTCAAAATCAGAACTGAGCTCAAATTGTCTGTGTTACTTTGGGCAAATTCTCCCCTCTGAGTCTTAACTTGTATCTACAACCTTATTTTTTTCAAAAACATCCCTGTGTGGAACAGGTAACTGGTACTCAGTCAGTACTTGTGTGTTGTGCTTCTTGCCTTCAAGGCTGCTTTTATTTCTGCATTTCCAGCATTGTTTCTCTTATTTTCATTTTATTCTCCACACAGACATGTACCTATCTTTTAAAATATCTCTTGTGTCCCTTCTTTCTCATTTTTCAAACTGGTGGTATTTGTTTTTAATGTCATAGGGTATGCACGCTTTGGTAGACAGTTCCATAGAATTTTTTTATAATGAAAATATTTCTACCATAGAAGTAATTTATGTAAAAATTAATTTTACTTGGCCTATGAATAAAGTTTAAATAATTGAACTCTAGAATAGGTAAGAGGGTGAATGCTGAAATGAAAGCCTGTTGCCGCTTGAGGTGCTTTTATGAATTAACTGTTCTACAACTAAGACTTTAGAGATTCCTCACTGCTTTGTACTTATATGTGTTACATGTGTTCAGAAGATGGCTGATCCTTGGCAGGAGTGCATGGATTATGCAGTGACCCTCGCAAGACAAGCTGGAGAGGTAAGAACTAAAATTTTGTCAGCCGTAATGTGACGGGTGTGGACAGTATGTGGTTGCCTGTTCAGTAAAACTTGTATTTTGGTTAATCTACTTTTTTTTTCATTTGACTAAACATTTTAAGGAGAATGATAACTCCATTTTTAAATCATTAAACTTTTTGTGGTGACAGTTCTGAATGTAAAATAGAATGTAAGATTATAGAATATTGTACTATGAAGACTACAACCAATAAAGGCTTACTTTGTACACATTTTTGTTAAGAAAATTTTTTAGAATATCAATAAGACACAGTTGACTGTTCTAAGCCATTTCTGTGCTTCATCTTTTCATTTGATTTAAAATTATTTAGGCCTCTTCTGCTTGTTTAACAAAAGAAAAATCTTTTTAGGTGGTTCGTGAAGCTCTCAAAAATGAAATGAATGTTATGATTAAAAGTTCTCCAGCTGATTTAGTAACTGCTACTGACCAAAAAGTTGAGAAAATGCTTATTGCTTCCATAAAGGAAAAGTATCCATCTCACAGGTATTTCTTATTTCAATTTCAAATGATAAGATGAGAAACAGGTTGTATCAGGAAGTTCAGGCAAGAACCAGGGGCAAGAGAGACATAGCCTGTAGGGTGTTGTCGGTGGCTTCAATCCAGACTCTGACCTTTTAGCCTTACTAGAATTTGTGATTACAAATCTTGTGCAGGAACATGAGGTTGCTGAGTTTAGGGGTTTTTTCCCATGCTAAGCTGCCAGGGAATAGGAAGGAGGCAATATTGGGTTTCTTTTTGATAAGAGGAATGTTTGGGATATTGGGAAACTAATGTGGCACATGTTTGAAATAGTCATGATGTATTATAGTAATGTAATATATTATGTATTATAGATACATTACATAGCATGTTTTAGGGAGGCATGTACACATAGTAATTTTCGTGGGTGATTTGCTTTCCCATTGACTGACACTAGTTGTCTATTACTACAAAGTGGATTACCCTAAAAACTTGGAGGTATAGATGATAAACATTTATTATCCCCCAGTTTCCTAGGGTTGCTTAGCTGCCTGATTCTTCCTAAGACACCTCTTGAAGTTATAGTCAAATTGTTGGCCAGGGCTACGGTCATCTCAAGGCTCAACTGGGGCCGAAGCTTCCCCTCCCCCGTGTGATTGTTGGCAGACTTGAGTTCCTTGGGGTTGTGTACTGGCATCTTCCCTCAGTTCTTTGCATGTGGGCCTCTTCATAGAGCATCTCACTGCCCAGTAGCTGTGTTCTCCTGAGGTGTCAGAGGAAGAAACAGTGAACACGATGGAAACCACGGGGTTGTGTGGTGAACTAGGGTCCAACTTTCACACTGTTATTTCTGCTTCACTCTATTGGTTAGAAATGAGTTGCTAAGTCTGGCTTACAGTCACGGCAAGGGATATTAGGCTGTACATCTCCAAGAGAGGAATGTGAGAGAATTTGTGGACATAGTTTTAAAACCACCACATTCCCTTAATTTCTCATGTGCAACAAATGCCATTCCAGGTGTGCATGTGTGCTCATTCGTGTACCCTTACTTATACTGGTATTACATTTTAGAATTGGGACTTCTCTAACTTTTCACATGACTTGACTTTGGGGGACATAAAGGTTCCCCATTTTTATTATTCTTTATAGTAGAAAAGGAATATGTCATGTTTTATGTTAAACTTTGTTTAGTTAAGGAGATGTGCTAGTTTAAAAATTGTTGAAAGCAGTGTGAACATCAGGAGGTTTGTCATTTTTGTTTTTAGTTTCATTGGTGAGGAATCTGTAGCAGCTGGGGAAAAAAGTACATTAACCAACAACCCCACGTGGATCATTGACCCAATTGATGGAACAACCAACTTTGTACATAGGTATGGTTTTACATTTTTAATATTATCGGTTTGTATAGTCACTGAATTGTCTTTTAGACTCTTCTAATCAGGAATATATACACCTTGGAGAATTGTGTAATATGTAAGTTCTTAGTATAGAGCCTGACACAGAGTCAGTATTTTATAACTCAATGTACTCTCCCTGATGAGAGGCCTGTGAGAGTTAAAATGAGTAGCCCAGTTTGGTAAGATTACACGTAGATGTTATATTTGAAGTTGCCATGTAGCTGGATATATTTCTACTACAAATAGAATTATTCAAGTCTATGAAGTCAAGGTCTACAATATGTATATATGTATTGACTGTTGGCTATTTTAAATGTAGAAAATTCCTCAAAATAAGATTGTAACACAGTATGATAATATCTTTTGTTAAAAATGCAGTATTCAATATTTAACCTTTTCAAATAGGAAGTTCCAGATTTCACGTTGTAGCAGAGACAAATAACCCTTCATTTTGCATAGTTTAGTATCTGGGACCAGTTTATTATGGGACCAGGCTGTGGGAAAAAGTACTGAAGAAAGGGGCCTTCTTTTTAACCACAATCAATTTAAAAATGTTGAGATTTAGTTTCATTTTTTTGAAAGAAAATTATAATATATATATAATGTGGTTACTGTATTCATGGTGATATTCAGAAGATATGAAATGGACCGCAGTGCAAAGAGTCCATCCCACTTCTGTCCCCTAGCTTCCCAGGACCCATCTCTGGAGGGGATCACTGTTGTCAGTTTCTTAGGTATTTTTTTTCAGTTATGTTTTTTGCCTGTAGAAGCATCTTTTTTAATGTGTCTGTTTGTACAGGGGGGTACTTCAGAAAGTTCATGGAAAAAATGGAATTCAAAGATAATATGCATTTTCCATGAACTTCTTGAAGGCCTCATGTAGGTACTGCTTCCCTCTACTCTCCCATTTACACAAAATGTTTTACACTATATACTCTGTTTTGTACCTAACATATTTTGGTAGAGGAGGAGGGATTGTGCTATTTAAATGAAAAATTTTGTAGCACCTACATTTGAATAGATGAATTTTATTGAACAGTTTTATCTTAGTAAACTTGTATATTTTTTCTTTTTTTTAAGATTTCCTTTTGTAGCTGTTTCAATTGGCTTTGTTGTAAATAAAAAGGTATGTTGTTTTAAATATATGGTTTCTCTTATTTTCTGAGAAAAAGTAAATATATCCCTGTAATAAATTCAGAATTGTCTCTATTCAATTTTATAGCTGCATTATTTGAAATATAAGCTATGGGCCTGGTAAAAGTTTCATGACACATTTCCACTGAAGAAAATATGTTTTCTCAGAAGCAGGAGTTGTAAGGAGAAAACTGATACAAAGAACTGAAATATAGCATTTAAACACCAGTGTAGGGGTGGGTGTTGGGTGCAGCATTTAAGATGGTTAACATGCTGCTTGGGACATTGGGTTTCAAGGTTAGGCTGTGCTTCGATTCCAGTTCCCTGCTAATGGGCAATTCAGGGAGGCCACAAGTACCTGGACCCTGTCACCCCCATGGCAGAACTGGACTGAGTTTCTATTTCTAGCTCCTGGCTTCAGCCTGGCCTATCTCTGTATTTTGTGAGCATTTGGGAGTGAACTAGCAGAGGGAAGGTCTCTGTCTTTGTCTCTGTACCTTTCAATTAAGTAAGAATAAATACATAAATGAATAAATAAATATTTAACAGTTCATGGAAAACATAATTAAAAGATAATGTTATTAAGAAAAAGAAACGTGATAGAGTCAAATAAGAGGAATTCATGTTTGATCTAAAATGCTTCATAGGGAGTAGGTGTTTAGCCTAGTGATTAAGACACCCACTTCCCACATTGCAGCACCTGGGTTTGAGATATGATCAGGCACTGAGTAATTTTGAACTCTGCATGAGGTTTCTGCAAGATTTGGTTCTGAAGCAAGGATTCTTACCTCTGGTAATGGAGTTAATGGCAAGCAAAATTGTAGATGGTAGTTGAATTTGTGTAACAAGGAAGGACCAATCTCAATATGAAGAGCTAAAAGGGGAACAGAAACAGTGGAAGAGGGGGAAAAAAAACATTTGAGGTCTGCAACTTTTTTTTTTAAAGATTTATTTATTTTTACTTGAAATTCAGATTTACACAGAGAGAGGAGGGGCAGAGAAAGAGAGAGGGAGAGAGAGGTCCTTCATCCGATGGTTCCCTCCCCAACTGGCCGCAACAACTGGAGCTGTCCAGATCCAAAGCCAGGATCCAGAAGCTTCCTCTGGGTCTCCTACGTGGGTGCAGGGGCCCAAGGATTTGGGCCATCTTTTACTGCTTTCCTAGGCCATAGCAGGGAGTGGGACAGGAAGTAGAGCAGCCGGGTCTCGAACCGGCACCCATATGGGATACTGGCACTTCAGGCCAGGGCATTAACCTGCTGCGCCACAGCACTGGCCCTGAGGTCTGCAACTTTTAAGGGCTAAGAGAAGAAGGTTCAAAATGGCACTGAGTGGGTGACATTGATTGAGTGAGGTAAGAGGACTAAGTACTGCTAGAATTATGGAGGTTCTTAATTAAGTACTAAAGAAGTATGGATTATAGCCAGCAGTCTCCAGTTCTTCAGGTAAGGCAGTTGGACAGTAAGAGTTCTAGTGATCCCTGGGTGGCAGTTTCAGAGGATGGTTGATCAGGACAGAAGCCAAATTGTTGTAATATATTAAGGGGAGATTAGAAAATGCAAAGTGTAGACTACTCTGGCAGTGAAGGGAAAACTAGGTTTTGTAAGCATCTTAATGCATTTGTGCTGTTTTTATTGGCACACAGTTCTGGAAGCTGGGAAATTTAGGCCAAGGTCCTGGCAGGTTCCATGGGGTCCCATGTGAGCTGAGGTCTTTTTCTTCTTCTAAGATCAGACCTTTAGTAAGGCATTAAATCTTCTTAGGAGGGTGGAGCCCTCATGGCCTAATTACTTCCCCTACCATTGCGCTTGCAATTAAATTTCAGCATCACCTTTGGAGGGCACAAATACTCAAACTATAGTAGCAAGGGAGACAGAAACTTGATGGAAAGGTACTAGAAGAGAAATGAGGATAGGAATCATAACACAGAGGGCAATGTTCACCTTAGAGAATAGAAACATCCTTCTTCATCTGAGGCTGAAGGTAGGTATGGTGGTGCTCCTACTAAAGTTTAGGCGTGAATTGAAGGAGAGAAAGATTTCAGGTCAGATGACCTATGACCTCTTTGTTCATGCTAGAAATTAACACTGTAAATCTAGCCATTTCAATACAGTATTATAGTCAGTACATCTGATTTCATGTTGCTTTCTGAATGTATTGAGTTTATGAAGAAAACAGATTCATTAAGGGAAACTTGTTTTCCTTTTGCAGATGGAATTTGGAGTTGTATACAGTTGTATAGAGGATAAGATGTATACTGGCAGAAAAGGAAAAGGGGCCTTTTGTAATGGCCAAAAACTTCAGGTTTCACAACAAGAAGGTAAGTGTATCCTCCAGTTTTTGTGCAGTTGATACCGTGTGCTTTATTTTCATGTTAACCTATGGAGTTCTCCAGCTGAGAACTGCTTCATAGATTGTGGGTTTTGTTTTCCTCTTAGTATTCCTCTGATCTGATGCCATTGGACCAATAATTAGACAATAAATCTGAAAAATAAATTAAAACTGGGAATCATTAAAAATTAGACAAATACTTTTTTTAATGAGCTAGATGAGTGGCATTTGAAGTCTTTTTCTTATATGACGTCTGATTGACATTTTGAGTCCTTTCTTCCTCAAATTACATCCAGTATTTTCTAGTTTGTACTTTCAGCGGGTTCTTTATGTGTAACAGGAATACAAAAATACTTCAAAACAGTTTAACTTCAGAATTCTTCTAGACTTTTATAATATTCTGCCACAATCAAACATGTGAATTGAGAGCAGATTTTTAGTTCATTTCCATTTATTTAACTCTTCAGACCCCAAAAATTGAACAGTGCGTCTTGATTTTCAAGATGTAACAGATGAATAAAGGTACATGGTAGAACTGCAGGAGTGTGATAGCTTTCATAGAAGTAACTGCATTTTTATAATTACATTAAACTTTACATGATCTGTAACTTAATTAAGTGACTGTAAGTAGTACAACAGTTATGAACATGCTAGGAACAAACACAGCTGTCTCCGCTGGTGGGAAGAGCTGAAGTGTGGGGACTGTTAAGAGTATTGTGAGCTTAAGTCACAGTGTTTCAGATGGGATTGAAAGACATTGGATAATGAGTCAACTTAGTGACTGGAGGTCAGATGACAGAGTTACCACTTAATTTTAACTATGGCTTTATTGCAGATCTGTATATAAATTCCTTATTGAATTTAATTTCTAACTTCTCTTTGGTTTATATTTAAAATATTTTGCTTGTTTCCCACGAACCAGGAAAATTGATTTCATTCTTCACTTTTTGGGTAATTATCTAAGAAACTAGATTTTTTTGATACTTAAAAAATGCTGACAAGGATAATAAAATTATCAGTTAATATTTAAAGGCTTAGAAACATTTGATAAAATCAGAAAGAAGAATATAAATTTCCTATTTTATTCTGAATTACAAGTGTCAATCTTTATTATAATTCTAACGGGGCCAGTGCTGTGACATAGGGGGTAAAGCCACCACTTTCAGTGCCAGCATCCCATATGCGTGCCAGTGTCTATCCTGGCTGCTCCACTTCCAATCCAGCTCCTTGCTAATGACCTGGGAAAAGCAGTAGAAGTGGAATATGGCCCAAGTGTTTGGGTCTCTGCTACCCTCGTGGCAAACCTGGAAGAAACTACTGGCTTCTGGCTTTGGACTGGCCCAGTGCTGGCCATTACTGCCATCTGGTTAGTGAACTAGCAACGGAAAATCTCTCTGTGTCTCCCTTTCTTTCTGTAATCCTGAGTTTTAAACAAATCAATACATTTTCAAAATAAAGTCTGGCCCCAAAGTGATTTTTTTTTTAGATTTTTATTTATGTATTTGGAAGGTAGAATAACAGAGAGAGAGATGGCCACAATAGCTGGAGCTGAATTGACCTGAACCCTGGAGTCAGGAGCTTCTTCCAGGTCTTTCACGTGGGTGTAGGGCCCCAAGCACTTGACCATCTGCTGCTGCTTTCTCAGGTGCATTAGCAGGGAGTTGGATTAGAAGTGGAACAGCCAGGACACAAACCGGCATCCATATGCGATGCTGTTGCCACAGGAGGTGGCTTTACCCACTATGCCACAGTGCCGACACCTAAAGTGATTTTTTTTAAAGAATTATGATTATTGGCTGGCGCCATGGCTCACTTGGCTAATCCTCCACCTGCAGCATCGGCACCCCGGGTTCTAGTCCTGGTTGGGGTGCCGGGTACTAGTCCTGGTTGCTCCTCTTCCAGTCCATCTCTCTGCTGTGGCCCGGGAGGGCAGTGGAGGATGGCCCAAGTGCTTGGGTCCCTGCACCCGCATGGGAGACCAGGAGGAAGCACCTGGCTCCTGGCTTTGGATTGGCGCAACGCCAGCCATAGCGGCCATTAGGGGAGTGAACCAATGGAAGGAAGACCTTTCTCTCTGTCCCTCTCTCACTGTCTATAACTCTACCTGTCAAATAAAAAAAAATAAAAAAATAAAGAATTGTGATTATTAAAATCAAGTGATTATTTTAAACATTTTATCTTCAGATATTACCAAATCACTCTTGGTGACTGAGCTGGGCTCTTCTAGAACACCAGAGACTGTTAAAATTATTCTTTCTAATATGGAGAAACTTCTTTGCATTCCTGTTCATGGGTAAGCTCTTTTCCTTTCCCATCTTAAAATCCCAGATAATTTAACATTGTAAAGGAATGAGGTTTGCTTTAGATAGAAAATATTTGTTAACAGGCATCGGATCAGCACCATAATTATAATTTTGTAATGTAATTTTAAACACTTCTTTTGAAAATAATTTTAAATTCCCAGTAAAATCGTAGAAATAAAGTAGTACAAAGAACAGTGGTATTGTTTATCCAGAATGACCTTTTGTTAACATTTTACCTCATTTGTGTGACCACTTTACCATTATGTATGGATGCATGTGCGTTCTTCTGCATAGATACACAATTTTTCTCCTGAACATTTTTAGAGTAAGCTATGTTTATTATGACTTGTACACACCTAAGTACTTTATTTATTTCATAAGAATAAGAATATTGTCTTCTATAACCATGATACGATTATTGACTTCATAAATATACTTTTCTCTAATCTGCCATCCATAGTCAGTTTTGTTAATGAACCCAATCATGTGCTTTCTAGCATTTTCCTGTCTTTAATGCAAGATTCAGTCTATGTTTGGCATTACATTAAGTTGCTATGTTTCTATTTTTTTGTTTCTTATTTATTTATTTTTACTTAAAAACCTTTTATTTAGGGTTTATAACTTCATGTATTTCATATATACAAATTTAAGAACACAGTGATTCTTCCTACTGTACCATCCCTCCTGCTTATACTCCCACCATGCTTCCTTCTCCCTTTGCTATTCCCATTATCATTTTTTACAAAGATCTGTTTTCAATTTTATACACATAAGATTAACCCTACACTAAGTAAAAAGTTCAAAAAATAATATAAAAAAAAAAAACCACAAAACTGTTCCTCAACAGTTGAGACAAGGGTTGTTCAGAATCATCACATCTCAAAGTGTCAATTTCACTTCTATAGATTTCCTGTTAGGTACTCTATTACTTAACACAAATCATGGAAAACATATGGTACTTGCCTTTTTGGGACTGGCTTATTTCACTAAATATAATGGTTTCTAGTTGCATCCATTTTGTTGCAAATGACAGGATTTCTTTTCTTTTTTTTTTTTTTTTTTTTTGCTGTTATGTAGTATTCCGTAATGTACATAGCCTATAATTTCTTTATCCAGTCATCAGTTGATGGGTATCTGGGTTGATTCCATATCTTAACTATTGTGAATTGAGCTGCAATAAACATGGGGGTACAGATAACTCTTTCATATACTGATTTCATTTCCTTTGGGTAAATTCCAAGGAGTGGGATGGCTGGGTCATATGGTAGGTCTATATTCAGATTTCTGAAGTATCTCCATACTGTCTTCCACAGTGGCTGTACCAGTTTACATTCCCACCAACAGTGGATTAGGGTATCTTTTCCCCCAGATCATTGCCAGTATTTCTTGTTTGTTGATTTCTGTATGAAAGCCATTCTAACTGGGGTGTGATGAAACTTCATTGTGGTTTTGATATGTATTTTCCTGATGGCTAGTGATCATGAGCATTTTTTTCATGTGTCTGTTGGCCATTTGAATTTCCTCTTTTGAAAAATGCCTGTTCAAGTCATTTGTACATTTCTTAACTGGATTGTTTGTTTTGTTGATGTTGAGCTTCTTGAGCTTTTTGTAGAATCTGGTTATTAATCCTCTATCAGTTGAATAAAAATATTTTCTCCCATTTGTCAATTTGGCTTTGATTGCCTCTGCTTCTGGGATCTTTTCCACAAACTCTTTGCCTATGCCAATGTCTTGCCAGACTCCCCCAATGTTCTCTAATAATTTGATGGTAGTGGGTCATAGATTTAGGTCTTTGATCCATTTTAAGTGGATTTTTGTGTAAGGTGTAAACTAGGTGTCTTATTTCAAACTTCTGAACATGGAGATCCAGTTTTCCCAGCACCATTTGTTGAAGAGAGTATCCTTGCTCCAGGATTTGATTTTAGTTCCTTTGTCAAAGGTAAGTTGGTTGTATATGTGTAGAGTGATATCTAGAGTTTCTATTCTGTTCCATTGGTCTACCCATCTGTTTTTTGCCAGTACCAGGATTTTTTATTATAACTGACCTATAGTTATTTCTTGAAATCAGGTATTATGATGCCTGTGGCTCTTTTGTTGTTGTATAAGATTGTTTTAGCTATTCAGAGTCTCTTGTGTTTCCATATGGATTTCAGCATCAGTTTTACTAGATCTGAGAAGAATGTCCATGGTATTTTGATTTAATCTGTAAATTGCTTTTGGTAGTATGAAAATTTTGATGATACTGATTCTTCCAATCCATGAAGATGGAAGATTTTTCCATTTTTTTGTGTCTTCTTCTATTTCTTTTTTTGTTTATTTTTTCAAGAAACCAGCTCTTTGTTTCACTGATATTATGTATTATTTTTTGGTTCCAATTTTGTTTATTTCTTCTCTAATTTTAATTATTTTTTTCTCCTACCTAATTTTGGATTTGGTTTGTTGTTGTTTTTCTGGGTCCTTTAAATGCATTGATCGCTCATTTATTTGGTGTCTTTCCAATTTCTTGATGTAGCAGCAATTGCTATAAACTTCCCTCTTAATAATGCTTTTACTGTATCCCATAAGTTTTGATATGTTGTATTGTCATCTTCATTCGTTTCCAGATATTTTTTATTTCTCTTTTGATTTCTTCTATGACCCACTATTCATTCAGGGATATGTTGTTCAGTGTCCATGTGTTTGCATATGTTCTAGAGATTGCTGAGTTGTTGATTCCCAGCTTTATTCCATTGTGGTTCCAGAAGATACATGGTATGATTTTGAATTTTTTGAATTTGCTGAGACTTGCTTTACAGCCTAGCATGTGGTCTATCCTAAAGAAAGTTCCATGTACTGGTGAGAAGAATGTGTATTCTGCCACTGTGGAGTGAAAGGTTCTGTAGATATGTTAGGTTTATTTGGTGTATAATGTCAATTAACCCTGTTGTTTCCTTGCTGATTTTCTGTCTGGTTGAGCTGTCCATTGCTGAAAGTGGACTATTGGAGTCCCCCATTACTATTGTATTGGAGTCTCTATCTCCCCATTAGATCCATTAACATTTCTTTTAAATAGCCAGATGCCCAGTAATTGGGTTGCATATATGTTTATTATAGTCACATTATCCTGTTGAGATGATCATTACAGAGTGCCCTTCTTTGTCTCTTGTAACATTTTTGATGTTAAAATCTATTTTGTCTGATATTATGATGGCTACACCATCTCTTTTTGGTTTCTGTTAGTGTGGAATATCTTTTTCTATCCTTTCATTTTCAGTCTGCACAGTCTGCATGTATCTTTGTGGGTGAGATGTGTTTCTTGTAGGCAGCAAATAAATGAGTCTTATTTTTTTATATTTATATTTTATTTTATTTAATGAACATAAATTTCCAAAGTACAGCTTATGGATTACAATAGCTTCCCCCCCATAACTTCCCTCCCACCCACAACACTCCCCTCTCCCACTCCCTCTCCCACTCCCTCTCCCCTTCCATTCACATCAAGATTAATTTTCAATTATCTTTATATACAGAAGATCAATTTACCATATATTAAGTAAAGATTTCAACAGTTTGCACCCACACAGAAACACAAAGTGTAAAATACTATTTGAGTACTAGTTATAGCATTAATTAAACACCTAAGAGTAATTGTGTATTAATTACAGAGTTCAACCAATAGTTTTAAGTAGAATATAAAAAATACTAAAAGGGTAAAGTATTAAGTTCTTTTTTTTCTGTTTCTTTTTTTTGTTTGTTTGTTATATAGTTTTTTTTTATTTAATAGATGTGAATTTACAAAGTGCAGCTTTTGTATTTTGTGGCTCCCCCCCCACCTCCCTCCCTCCCGTGGCCCTCCCCTCTCCTGCTCCCTCTCCCATCCCGCCCTTCATCGAGTTTCATTTTCAATTACCTCCATATACTGAAGATCAACTTAGTATATACTAAGCAAGGATTTCAACTGGCTGCACTCACACAACCACACAAGGTATAGGGTATTGTTCGACTAGTAGTGTTGTTTTTAAGTTTCATAGTAGAACACATTAAGGACAGAGATCCTACGTGGGGAGCATGTACCCAGTGACTCCTGTTGTTGATTTAACAATTGGCACTCTTATTTATGACATCAGCAATCACCTGAGACTCTTGCTATGAGCTGTCTAGGCTATGGAAGCCCCTTGAGTTCACCGACTCTGAACTTGTTTAGTCAAGGCCGTATCACAGTGGAGGTTCCTTCCTCCCTTCAGAGAAAGGCACCTCTCTCCTTGATGGCCTGATCCTTCTGCTGGGGTGTTGTTCACCAGGATCTTTCATTTAGATTGTTTTTTGCCACCGTGTCATGGCTTTCCATGCCTATGAGATGAGTCTTGTTTTTTAATCCATTCAGCCAGTCTATATCATTTAACTGGAGAGTTGAGGCCATTTACATTCAAGGTGGCTATTGACAAGCAATGACTTGGCCCTGCCATTTTTCCATAAATATTCTTATTTACTTTGGATTTCCTTTGTACTTTTACTGGGAGATTTTCTTCCTTTACCTTCTTTCATAGTGATGACTATGTTTCTATGTTTCTGTGTGAAGCACATCCTTAAGCGTCTTTTGCAAGGCTACATGAGTGGTGATAAATTCTTTCAGTTTCTGTTTTTTATGGAAGGTCTTTATTTCACCTTTGTTCATAACTGACAGCTTTGAAGACTACAGTATTCTGGGCTGACAGTTTTTTTCTCTTAAGATTTAGAATATGTCTCACCATTCTCTCCTCGCGTGTAGGGTTTCTGATGATAAATCAGTTGTGAGTCTGATTGGAGAGCCTCTGAAAGTAATCTGGCATTTCTCTGGTGCAGATTTTGGAGTCTTTTCTTTGTGTTTTACTGTGGAGAGTTTGACTACAGTGTGTTGTGGTGAAGATCTTTTGTGGTCATGTGTATTAGGAGTTCTTGTACTTAGAAATCCCTTTCTTTCTCCAAATTAGGGAAGTTTTCTGTAATCATTTCACTGAATTGTCCTTCTGAT